CTAATGATTTAAAAAGTCTAATAGAACTACTAAAATTTAGTATATCAGACATAAACCAATAGTCAAAATAAATTCTATCCAGTTAACTTCAAACAAAAAAGAATCCATAAGTACAAAACAAATAACTCCCAAAACCCCAATCCAAAGTACAAAAATTCTTCAAGAAATAGAACCTTCCAAATATTCACAAGAGAATCAAAAGGTTCATAAAAGAAATAACACAACCCAGTACATCAGTGAAGAACCAAGAGAAATGGACATAGATGAACAAAACTCTATCCCATCTCAAATAAAGGAATGTTCATCATCCAGACAATGATCGTCAAAAGAACCTAATGAAAAAACAAATCAAACAAGATCAAGCAAAAGATCTTTGAAGAACAAAACATGACAACAAGAAACAAACCAGAGAGCATAAAAATTATGGACACTTCACCTACTAAACATAAACCAGACAAGCAAAAACTCATAACACCCTAATACATAAACATGATGAAAAAAATTATGCAGAGGAATTGTTGAAGCCTAAAATCAAACATAAATGAATTACTCTTATTCATAACAAATCAACTTCCCACTGTCATTTGCCTTCAAGAAACTTTCCTAAAACCAAATGATAAAATAAAAACTGCACTCAATCTAACTCCATACATGACACTCAACAGAGGACATCTGGGGGCATATTGATCATAATCAGAAATGATATCCCCCCAAATAAAATACTTCTAGAAACCAATCTACAAGCAGTTGCTGCAAAAGCTACCCTACATAGAACCGTTAACATGTGCTCTATTTATATCCTACTGTTATAGACAAATGTATGGTTGCAAGAAAGAAATACAACAACAGCAGAAATAGATTTACGTGATTTATTTCAACAGGAATGTGAGGGTTTGGGACAGCTACCTTATGGTATAGTTCATAAGCCGGCTTCGGATCTAGGTCAATCTCTCATAGTAGTTCACACAGGTTGACGCTGGTTGATGCTCCCCTGCTGACAGCTGCTGACCGCTCGGCCTGACCGTGACAGGTTTCTTCCCTGGCCACCTGTTGACTGCCTGTTGTACTTCCGTGTGACCCCTTTTATGGCGTTTTTTTATGGCTTAACAGGCTAGAAAAATGAAGCAAGTATAATTAGGAGGGAAGCATTTTTATTGGACGAAAAATAGAACACTTTAAATATTATTTTATTTTTCGACCGGAACTCGTGCGTCGGGAACATTTGTAAACGAAGATACTGGTCATTTTGTGATGGGGCTTTGTCCCGTTCACATCTGGCTCTCGCTCTTGAGTATGTTAGTTTATTTGCCTGTAAATCAGCCGAGATATGTCTTATTTTATTTTATAACACTACCACATGATCCCATAGAAGAAACTGATCTAAATAAACTACTAGAATAACTACCAAAACTATTCATATTATTAGGTGACTTTAACAGACACAATTTTATATGGGGATCCAAGAACTCAGACAAAAAATGGGAAAAACCTGGAAAATGTAATTAACAAATTATGTTTACTAAATGATAGGCTTAATACATATCTACATCCTGCATCAGGTACTTACTCAGCTATTGACCTATCAGTGTGTGATTCCTCTATTTTTATGGATTACAATTGGCAAGTACTCTATGATTCATGCAGTAGTGATCAATATCAAATTTTACTGAAGAGTTCAGAGCCAATTGAAAACCATCTCCCTCAATGGAAAATAAGCAAAGCAGATTGGAGAGACTATAAAAAAATGCAGTCAAAAACTTAAAGCTGGCAAAAAAATATCTATTGAATATTTCTCTGAAACATTAATAGAAATTGTGAGAAAAAAATATACCAAAAAGCAGTGAATCAAATAATCATCAAAGACCATGGTTCAACAAAGATTGCAAAAAGGCAATAAGATTATGTGGAACAGAACTACAAAAATTTAATACTCAACCTATGACCAATAATTTAAATCTATTCAAACTAAAAAGAGCTATAGCATGTAGAACCATCAAAGAAACTAAAAGAAAATCATGGAGAGATTACTTAAATAAAATTCCAATACAAAACCAAAATGTCTGGAATATGATAAGGAAAATCGCTGGCAAAAAGCTGTCACCTCCTCTAAATCACCTTTTCCCAAAATAACATAAAAATAACAAGCAAAGTATACTTAAACAGAAATTATAATGTATCATGTTTTGATAGTTTTTTTTGATTATTTACATCAATACAATTTGATGTCAAACAAAAACAGTGCCACTTACTGTAGTGAAATGACGAACACAGGTATAACTTATTTGAAGCCTTATTCAACTTAGAATGGAGCATGTCCAGATGGGCTTATTTAAATACAAAATACATATAAGGGGCAATAATCCATAGCACATTCACCCTTACTGGTTAATTTTAAAAGACCCCACTCTCCTGCTGGTCCTTTGAGGACATCATGGTAGTTCACAATTGACAACCACCTCTGACATTGACTCATCTGAGTTTGTTGTTCCAGATTTGTCTTGCCTACCCAGCTTTGAAGTTTGTGTTTATATATTCTTCAATTTGTAAGCCACCCTGTGTCTGAATTTGAAATAGCAGTGTCCATTTCAGAGTGGATTCATTTTTTAAGTTTGACATAAATTGTGTGCAGCAAGTTTATTATTATCAGCCTTGTCTTACCTATTTGTCACATGAGGGTGCTCCATTTTAAGAGTTTCTACAAAGTTTTTGAACATTAAAATCCAATGCGTCTATTGCTCAGCATCTATGGTATGGTTAGGATCGACATCAAACCTTTATAGTCTCGTGCAATATTCCATATTGATTTCTAAGTCAAAAAAATTGTAGTGAAAAGATGAACACAGATATAACTTATCTAAAGCTTTATTTGACTTAGAATGATGTGTATCCAAGCTGGACATATTTAAATACAAAATACATATAAGAGGGTGATGATCCATACCTCACTTACATTTTGAAGTTTCATTTTTGATCATCTGTTTACTTCTGCAATTTATTTGGCTTAGTATTACAGCAAATCACTGTTTTCATAGCAAATGTTCAAGCAAACTATATTCCGTAGTTCTACCAGTCCAGACCTTTGCAGCTAGGACCCACCATGACACATACACACTCATACTCATCATTTCCATTGTTAAGGTGGAATTTCTACTCAGACAGCTTCTACTCTAGAACTTGCATTGTGGAAACAGACTCCCAAGAGGATGCTTCCTGATCACTACATCCTTAAAATCTTCAAGTTTAGAATCAACTGTTATGTTCTACATATCCTCATGATATGCACCTCCAGCTCACTTCTTGTATACCCTTACAATAAGCTTATTTAGTAAACTCTAGCTTGAGTGGCTCTTTGGCCTTGGGTGAATAATAGTAAAAAAAAAAAATTCAGGATCTTTAATCTGCCATAGGAGAGGGAAGATTTGAAAGGAGCATTATTCCAGTTTGCCTCTCTTTTAATAGTATAAATCAAGATGAAACCACAGGACAGGGTCAAGAAGTGGAAGGTTAATTTAATAATGCACAGTGACTCTGCTTGATTGTGATCTCCCCACTTGGCTGACTTTTAATACAATGATAGGACAACTGTACTATCTGACCATGCTCAAAGTTTGTTATTCGGTGAAACATTTTAACAATCATCTTCTTAATCCTCTGACATTTCTGGTATCATGCCATTTTGTCACACTTGTCCAATGTTTAAAATTTATTATCTCCTTCAAAATAATTAATTTTTTAAAATACAATAGGGCAAAGAAAATTAAAAAAACAGATCACAGTTCTGTGTCAAGACCAATTTCAGTAATGGTTTCTTCCTGTTAAAATTGAAACCTAGATATGATCATTCATTTCCTGTACAGTTTATGCATATATGCACTATTATATATGCAAATTAAGTGTTGCCCTCTGGTGGGGAAAAAGCCATATTGTAAATACCTCACTAATTTTCAATGTACTGCTACCAAAGTGAATACTATTGCTAATATTTAATTTTATTTCACTGTCAGGCCATTTTAACACTTTCTGTATTTGCTATAAACTGATAGAAATATTACAAATTTATTCAACTTTTTCTTTGTTTAACATGGAAATATTTTTTTAGATTAAGGAATAGTGATGTACAAATTGGCTTATGGAATAAAGATGGTGATTCATTTTTTCATTTTCAATCTTAAACATAAAGTTAATATACATTGACCAAAAAATTTGTCCAGTTTACATAAAAATAAAATACAATTGGTTTTATTTTCAACATTAACTTTATTAAAAACACTTTTTGGAATGTCTGACAAGATAACTTGTCAAAGTATGGATTGAAAGTTCAATTCTCATTGGAAGCAGCAGCTTTATTTCTATTATTCACATTGTTTGCTCCATCAGTCAAAATTTGTGTTGAACCCCAAACTCCAAAACATTGGAATAAAAAGCAATAATTTAGTAAGGAATAATAATAATAATAATGATAATAATAATAATAAGAGTGATAAGTGTATCAATCCCCAGAATGCTCTTGATACAAAGCAAAAATAAAATGCAGTAAGACTTCTATGTGCCATATCCTTTCAAGACATGAATGAATGAATGACCATGACTTTCCACAACTTCCTATCCTTTGTAGCTCTTATCAATTTTTGTCTTTTTACTATCCTTCCCTGTTCTATCATCCATTTAGACAAACTCATTGGGTAGTCTATTTTTGCAGTTGTTATTTCCCTATGTGACCAAGAAATTTCAGCTGATTTTTTTAGGTGGGTGGGATGTATTTTTGTAGTAGGGTCGGGCTTTTCTGTTATCATTTTCTTTAACACTTCCTTATAACTCACATGTTTGAGTCCATGGTATTCTCAGTATCTTTATGTTGAACCACAACTTGGCTTCTAGAGTATAACTAGTATGGATAACAACCACCTAGATAGTAACTTTTTTGTTAACAAATTTGAAATTAACATTCTAATTGCTTCTCTCAATTCAAACACCCATTTTTTAAATTTTTTTTTATACAGCTTTGATTCAGTGCTTGGAAGCTGCCACCAGGTGTATATTTGGCAAAGAAACCAGCCAGATCTCCCTTTTACACTATTTATACTATATTAAAGCAGGAGGAGGTATTGATGCTTTACTTGAGTCAAGTAATGGAGCTGCTCAAGAATTTACAATCAAGGTGAGGATCAGATTTTAAAAAAAATTATCTCTGCTGGTTTGTATTGTAGAAGATATTATATAGCATCAAATGGCTAATACTTTTAATTAAGAAAAATTTCAAATTCTTGGATAAAGGTGATTATTTTAGATTAAAAATAAAAATAATTCAAAAGTCCTGCTCTAAGATCTGAAATATTTCAACATTCACATAACTTAAGAGATATCTCCTTTGAGCAATATTACAATTCTTTACAAGTCTGGTTAGGCTTAGGACTGTTACTGGTAACATATAAACCAACTTACCACATGGACAGGTGATTGGCATCTAAACCAGTCAAATGACAAATGAGCTTCTTATAGGAGTCAACAGCCAACCATGTGTGTGTGTGTGTGTGTGTGTGTATATATATATATATATATATATATATATATATATATATATATATATATATAGAGAGAGAGAAATATACTTTTAAGGTGTGCTATATTTATGGGATAAAGTGCTCAATATCAGAGATACAGCATATGTAAATATAAAAGTGAACATTGAAGTCAACACTCGGAGGCGACAAGCTGTTTCATGCTAGATGCAATCTTCAGGCCTGACAGTTGCGTCTAGCATGAAACAGCCTGTCACCTCTGAATGTTGACTTCATTGTTCATTTTATATTTATATATTTAATTACACACACACACATATATATGTGTGTGCGTGAGTGTGGTTAGAATGGGGTTTCAAGCGTTGAATGCCAACCTTCCTAGAGATGGTGTCTCAATAAAAACGGACTAACATGGGTGCCCAAGTTGAGCATCAGGAAGAGCACCCAACCTTGTAGAACTGTGCCTCAAATCATTATGGCAGATCCTCTGTCAGGCAGGACCCACTTTGCTTTGTGTGAGATTAGTACTGGTACTACCTCAACAAAATAACACAGCTATGTATGTATGTTTGTAACTAATTCATGATATTTGATTAGCAATCATTGACTACTTTTGACCTCTATTTTAAAGTAATTTGCTTTGAAGCCACTTTGACAATTTTTACTTTTTCCAAATTACATTGTTTTAGATGTATGTGATATAATTCAAAACAATGCTGATTTTTTTTTGGGGGGGGGCTTTATTTAACTTTATTTAGCTGCAGTCTTCCATCTCAATATAGCAACTCTAAGAGAATAAAACTATATAAACACCAAAACCAGTTAAAACCACTACCCTCCAACTCTAGAGTAAAATAAATAATAATACATTCATTATTTACATTCAGACTATTGTCCTCGTCTTTGTTGTTGTTATCACATTTCAGCTGTTGTGCCCTTTGACTTTCATCAGGTGCTTATCAATCCAGGTAACCTTCAGGGAATTTTGATCTGAACCCTTTATTTGATCTACAGGGGTTGAAAGAGAAATGACAGCAAGTAGAATAGTGAAGCCTTGATAAGTGCAATCTAGTGTGACAGCAGGCAAGTTTGGTTTAAGGCTCCAAGTGCTCCACTCAGAATTGACAATAGCTTAGTAGATTAAAATGTTGGTTCATGAATTTGGTAACATAGTAATTGCCGGGGTCAGGCAAATGTGAAATATACTTAGACTGAGAACAATTTGTTCAAATTTCTTTGAATCTGGACAAAACAATGAAGTCTGAAATGTTGTAATAAGAACAACAAAGATGAGGACAACAATCTGAATGTAATTAATAATTCCTCACTTCAGAAATACAGAAATAACGTGTTCTTCCCAAATTTCTAAAGAATAAATAATTAAGAGGAAGTATAATAATATTTAAGGATGTGAATTTAGAAATTGGAGTCTTGTTAGAATCTGTCTACCCAGGTTTTTGTTGTTATCTGAGTCAGGATTCCAAACAACATATAAAAGGTTATTTTCTGAAGGAAAAGTAGAAGCAGAACATCAGTTGAAATAACTTTCATTTATATATTCTTTTCAGAAATATGCAATAACAATACAATGTTCAATTTTTCTTGCAGTGATGTTTATGTTATAAAGTAATTATGTGTTCTTAGTGTTGTGTGAAATGTGTGGACAGACTTAGTTTATGATGGTCAGCTTAATGTATTTGTGGGTTCGTAGACAAATCTTAGTCAGCAGCTGCTGGTTATTCCCTTCTATTTTGTGCTTGATCTTTTCATTGTATGCGTGTGTATGCACATGTAGATCAAACAGGCCTCCAAAATTATTTTGAGCCTTTTTATATCTGTAAGGAGGATCCAAAATCTAATTTCACATGCAGGTGCAAACTTTTTGAGTACAAGGTACTCATTAGTTAGAAAATAATTTCAGGCTGACTTGTGAAATTCTTTTTCTCAAACTTGTGGGAATGGTATGGTGAGTTATTGTTATTTTCTAAATGGTCCAAAAATAACAAGTGGTAGGTCTACAACTACGTCCACAAGTATTTTGGCAGTATTTTCCCTAGTAATTATTGTTTATCAAACAAACTTTCTGATGGGACTTTATTGGTTGAAAAATATATATAGGATTTAATTCCTGTAGTCTAATGAAGTTTCTGGTTGCAAACTTTATAAAACATTCATCAAATTTATTGAGCCTACAACATGTATCATCCAAAGGTCATGCTATATTCCCGTCTTCAAATTTGGTAACTTGGTATTAACCAGAGAATTCAGTTTCAGCTGCACCATCTTCTTCCACCTGAGATTTGACATAAGATATCAAATGCCAAATCGATACAGTGGTCCCAATGTCATTTGGCAGTTTGATGTGAGCATAGTTTAGATTGGCTTCTGGCAATTCCACATTATCCACTACAGGCTCATATTTTGAGTGAAAATTGTGTCTTGTGTAAAAATCTTTCACCACAGGACAGTATTTTAAGGTGTATATGAAATATTTAATAACCATATAAAAATATGTATATAAAGATTTGATACAATCTTTCCTCTTGCAACCCGTTTTACACATATTGCCTATGAAATGTCAGGTTGTCATGGATAAATTTTCATCTAAATTATGCAAAAATGAAAATAGCACTGGCATCTCTTTTTAATAGATATATTTACCAAAATTACACAAAAATATCTTGAAATATTAAAGAGTAAATTTATTCAATAAAATTGCCATTGGCTTCAACCATGGCCTCCAGACGACTTTGAAATCTCTTGCAGCTCTTCTGGACAGTCTCCATGTTTAAGTTAGTGAATACTGCCAATAATAAGGAGTTTTGTTGGTCTGTCACTCAACTAGGCCCAACAAATAATAAAGGGGTTGCAGTTGAGGGAATTAGGTGACCAGATGTAAGGGGTGATGTGGTTGTAAAAATTGTCTGACAGCCATGACTGAGTTCTCTTGCTTGTATGGCATGGTGCAGAGTCCTGTTGCAAGACATAAGTTCTTCCAGCAGGCACCCTCTTGACCCAGGGCAGCACTACCTCCTCAAGGCACTTGATGTAGGCCTTCGTGTTGAGGCTGAGACCCTGTGGGAAGATGAATGGAGGCATGATGTCACCATTACTAATGCTCACTCAAAACACCTTTGTAATCACAATTAGACACTATCCTTAGATTTACACCCAAACACTCTAAAATGTTTGTATTGGAGCTTCCAGTGCGAATGCCAAGTTGTACAGCATCCCATTTCTAATGAAGTGAATTGCGTTATGGTGTTATTTTTTGCACAGACGGTACCCAACTGACCCTACTATACTGTGCAGTCGACAAAATCAAAAGAAAACAACATGAATGCTCAAAATTAAAAATATAAATTGGCGACAATTTACCCATCGCACCCTGTATGTATATTTGAATTAATTTAAATTCTACCATCCACTCTACACACACACACACACACACACACACACACACACACACTAGAATGTAGCTAACAAAATGTCTGCTATACTGACAACATCCAGTTCTTAATAATCCCTGAGATGGTTGAAAGTACTTAAACAAAAAATGGAACTTTTGACAGTTTATCCACTATTTTGATTCCATTGGACATCATATTCAAAAAATAGAAAAATATAATAACAAAATTAAACAGACAGCTTGCCAGCTGAATTTAACAAAACTTGCTTGAGTGAATCCTTGTTACCTAAATTTCCCTTATAAAATCCCGAAATATCTAAAGACACTACCCTGTTATGCATGAAAGTTTAGTCACCATAGAATAGTTTGTCTTGGCTATTTCTGGGTCATATTCCTGCTCTAACATGTGTGGGTTTTTTGGTATCAGATTTTTTTTATTTAGGTTTTGAAGCATTTTGTGTCTTTTGTAGATAGACTATGTTTCTTGTATGATTTCTTCTTCTTCTTCTTCTTCTTCTTCTTCTTCTTCTTCTTCTTATTATTATTATTATAATAATATAGTTGAGTAACTTTGGGTACATAGTATTATCTAAGGTGAAACATCCAACCCATTTCTTTTGGGTAGACTTGTTGGTAAACTAATCATGATTTAATGCTATTACAATCGGTCTCATTTCAGGGTGGTACAGGAGCTCTGGTTGAGAAGCTGGCCGAAGGTGTAAAAAACAACAACAATAATGTGATAGAATTCAAATGCCCAGTGACAAAAATAGAACAGGTAAGACTGAAGTCATTAATTTGTTGCACCTAAAAGTAATCTTTTATATCTGAATTTACAATGTTTAGCTCAATCCGACACAAAGTCACAACAGAAGGTTACCTCATGAAGATCAAACTAACTCTATCAGTAATGGTACCCTAGGCTAGCTTGCTAACAATTACACCACAACAATGAGGTAAACTTTGTTGCCAAGCTTAGCTTAATTGTTTACAAGATCAGAGTTGTGGGGCATCTTGTAAGGACTGAACTTCTTAATCATAATGATCTGTTATCAATCCAGCTGATTTTATTCTGATACAAGGCTCCATAGATGAGGTACCTAGTGGAGATTGAACTCATTACAGATAATGTTATCATTATACAAACTAATAAAGGGACAAGACTAAATCTCTCATATGTAACATTATTCCTTAGTTTAATCTTCATTTGGACTATTGCCCTCATTTTTACTGAGAATAAAGATGGGGTCAATAGTCCTAATGTCAATAATGATAAATCCTCATCCTAGAAATTCAAAAAGAAATTGTATTTTTATCATATATATGATGCAGATACATAAACAAATACCAAATTAAAAAATATATAAGAACATACAAAATTATAAATTATAATTTGTGTATATATTTTATTTAAATTACCCACTTACAATAATATAAATTGTAATTACACTTTAAGAGAAAATTCATGTTCAAGATAGGCTTACAGCCATGTCACATTGAAACACTGGTTCTTGTACGATCACTAAAGTTAAGCAATGTCAAGCTTGGGCGGTAGCTAGATGGGTGACCATCTAGCTACTGTGAATACCAGGACTGTAACCTTGGATGTGCCAGTGGTGTAATGGGAAACAGCTTGGCATTAGAAATTGGAGAGCCAAGTTCCAATTCCAGTTGGGTTTGTTATATTCGCTTATGTGCAAATACTTTGCAGTATTTCTAACTGAACCCATGGTGGGTAGATTCCATGTACAGATTTCCTAGTAGATAAAAGCATTGGTTGATTGATCTGAAAAGTGACTTGACCCAAAGAGTTATGAGTTCAATCCCTGGTCTCTGTTATTTAATTCACCTTGATAAGTTTTGTTCTCAGAGAGAAGATTGATAGGTCGTTAAACATTAAACAAACAAATTCTCAGAGAGAACAAAAACTTATCAAGGTGAATTAACTAAAACTGAGATATTCAAAAGCATGGTGCATGGAATTAGAACAATCTACTCCCCCCCACGTGGACTAAATACAGGTGTTTGATTTTGAAATTCAAAAAAATATCACCTGAAGAAGCCAGAGCATACAACAGCCGAAATGTTATGAATGTGACAATAAAGATGAGGACAATAGTTTGAACAACATAAATAGTGTAAAAAGTATTAAGAAACAGGAAAATTTCATTAGAAAGAAAGAAAGAAAAGAGTACTGAACTGTTATGCAATATCCTTCCTTGTATATGGTAGAGAATACTGAACAATTTCCTCACATATGAAGGGGAGAACTCGGGCAACAAATATGGGTCTACAGAAAGATACTGAGAATACCATGGATAGAACATATGAAAGGTTTTAAGGAAAATAGGAATGAAAGGATATTTGAGCTTTGGATAAGAAAGGGGAAATTGAAATTTCATGGATAAACAAAATGAGGAAAAGAGGTTTAGAGACGGGACATATTGAAAAGCAAGAGGAGCAGAAGGAATCATTGAGAAACCTAATTAATGTGTTTGTGAAAATAAATGGCAGAACAAGGCTTGGAAGAGATAGTAAGAGGACAAACATTGATTAGAGCTGCAAAGAATAGACAGTTGTGGAGAGCCATAATCATCCATGTCCTAAAGGGTTTTGCACATAAAAGAAAAAGATATATGAAAATATTATGCTAAGTTTGATATTGAAACCCAGGATGAATTTTTTTGTTTTTTTTTTGTTGTTTTTTGTTTTAGGCACGTTGTTCCTCCCAATTTGGAGGATGGTACAGCATAATCTTTGTATATCCTTTTAATTTGGCCTTGTGCCATGCTATGCTAATCTCAATAAATAATAATAGAAATGGAAGAGAAGTAACTAATTTAAGATGTTTCAAGGCAATAATATCATTAAAATGCAAGGGGTTACTGGGTAAAAAAGAGAAAACTTTAGAAGAAGGAACTGGGAACTCAATCCTAAACAGGAAACAAGGATTAGATCGCTATTCATGTTCAAAAAATGGCAAAGGAGTGAACCAGGTGATAGGCAAACCAATCAACTCCTATTAACCTTTAGCACTCTGTAGGTGACTATTTTCACCAAGTAGAATGCTAGTCCTGCCAATGCAAGCTGAATTTGAATTTCTTGGTTGTGTAGTCATTGTGTAGATATTGCATATCCTTCTATGGCAACACCTAAAACAATCTTGACTGAAATTGAGAGCCAGGCTACTGCAATTTCAAATGTATAGAACTAATATATAAAACACTATATTTTAAGGGTATTCCATATACAGTAATAGGGGAAGTAATATTTATAAATGATGCAAAGTGCTGAATGTTGAGGCATATAATTTATTCCTAAAAGTCAAAATTGATATTATTGGATACCTTGTAATATTTTTTAATTTGTATTATGTTTGCATTATATTTCCCAAATATGATGGGCAAATAAGGTAAAACAAAGACACTGGTTTATATTAGAAACTGAAACTAGTGTTGTTTTGTTTTTTTTTCTTCATATTATTAAATTTTCTTTTGTTTCATTCTTCCAGTCCCCTGAGAAGATAATGGTATATACAGAAATGAAGAACAGTGATGGTGAAGATATAATCTACCAGTGTAAACACTGCATTTTAGCAATCCCACCACATATGATGGGTTAGTTAAGTTTAATAATTCTATATAAAATACTTTGATTTTAACTTCCATTAATGCTGACATTAATTTCTGGGCACTGAAAATCTCTTTCTTCCTCACTATCAATGCATTTCTATAGAAAAATTATTTGCAGTTCTTTTCTATAATAAAACTATTAGCAATGGATATTTTATGTATAATTTCTTTTTCTCATAGTAAAGCTTGCCTTAGTTCATGGCCACTAACAATCACTTTCTTGATTTTCAAGACACAACAAAAAATGTAGGTTACAAAATGTAGTGGTTAAGTCAACCAGTTCCACTTTGGTGACTCTGATTCATTTACACCTATTTAAATAGTATATGCCTTATTACACCCAGGACAACACTCACCTGGACTGGGTGAGTAATATGTATTCTTTGTACCTTTCTAAGCATAAGTTAATATTTTTTTATAAGTTTTCTAGGTAAGTGTTCAATGATCAACTTTATAAATGAATATTTTTACCTATCTGTTCATGGGTTAAATGTAATATGAAAATTTTGGCACCTGCTTTCTTCCTATCTATACCTTTTAACATTGTCTGTGTCACTCTGTATGTGACCCTGAGAGTGAACAAATATTTTGATATTTACTTGAATTCTACCTGTGATTATAGAAGTGACATAAACATCTTTATTTAGAATGCATTTCGGTATATGATTTTTAGTGTTTACTCTGTCACTAGATATTTAATTGTTGGATATTAGAAATGCCAACTCTCTTGAGATATCCATGGAACTATAAGGGGGATTGAGGTTACTGTTCTTCAGCCCTCACTTTTTTTTTTTTGTAAATCTATGACAATACTATAGAATTGATCTGTATTATTTATCTAAAATTATTGTCATTAATTTTTGTAATACATCCAAAAATGAGATATATATATATATATATATATATATATATATATATATATATAATAATATATATAGAATAAATGGATTTTATTTTTATTACTTCAAACATTATTTTTAGTGGATGCACCTTTCTGAGTAGGCACCATTGACATGCAGAAGTTTGGCGGTGCCTGGGGCCAATTCCTTGATTGTATGCCTCTAAGACTCAAGTGGCAGGGGGTGCTACTCTGGTCTCACTTATCAAAACACGAATCCACATTCACACCAGCTTGTGGAACTGTAGGATGCTATTACAATGAAGTTAAGAGACAATTTCAAATTTCAAAAACTACATTTTTATTTTACTCTTTCATTGGATGCCCTCCCAATATGGATGCTCTGGGTCATCACACCCTCCCACTTTTGCACACTACTGTTAGACACTCCAATTATTTTAAACAGTATGTCATCTATGAATCTGCATACTGACAAAATTCTGCTGTAAGGCACATTTTCTGTATTGTTTTCCGGAGTATGCAGGCTAGTAGATGAAATAAATATTGTTTAAGGTAAACCAAGATTCTACTCAAATATGCGTATCTACTAAAAGTAACGTTTATTATTAAAAATATATTTACTTATACACACACACACACACAGTGGAACTTTGGTTATCAGCCATAATTCATTCTAGAAAGTCAGCCAAAAACCAAAATAATATTCTCATTAGAAACAATGTAAATCCAATTAATCTGTTCCAGACACCTAAAAATATTAACAAAAAATACCTTTTATACAGAATAACTCTAGTTTTACATGCAGAAAACCATAAGAAATATAAATGATGAATAAATGAACATTTAAATTCACTTTACTTTTGGGACTCTTGTTGGTGTATGTAAGATGGTGAGGAGGGGGAGGGAGAAGAGGTGTTATTGTTTGGAAGGGTAATCCCCCCACCTCCATAAAGACTTCAGGTAAGTCATTTTCTGGGTGTTATTTTCCTTCCCTGTCTCTTTTGTGCCACTAGAACCTATATGAGACTGAATTGGGTCCCTCTCTCCCTAAAAACCTATCCAAAGAGGTTTTTTTTGTCTCTGCTTTAAAATTTGCCTGAAATGTGACAAGATAAAATGTTTATGACAATACTAGCAACAATTTTGTTAGAGTAAAATTTTTTGACAAAACTTTGTACCTCACTTCATTTTGAACAAATGTTCTTAATCACTAAAGTAGACTCATGTAGTAATGGATAGTGGCTCAGATTAAGGAATCAGAGAGCCGAGTTCAAATTCTAGTCAAATCCATTACATTCACTTACGTTCTAATACCCTTGGGAAAGGTATGAATCCTCTTCTTCTCCCCGCAGCTATGGGTAAATAGCAGGACAGACTGGGTTCTATAGCCTCAGATGGCAATTGATCTACCACAGAAAGAAATGGCAAACTACTGCAGGGAAAAATATCTGCTTCGTCATGGTATCAAAAAATACATGATCGCCTAAGTGTGTATCATGCATGGCACATAACTGACTGACCTGAGACACATTCTCCTCTGTCTCTCTCTCTCAAGCTATTTCCTCAACTGTTGCTGGTTACTGCTCCAGCTGAAGGTCTTGGATTTCTTCAGTGATCAGCTCTTCCCTGTTGTCCTCCTCCACATCCTGTCCACTCAGGGAGATTTCCTCAAAGACACACTCAGAATTTTCTTTGGACCCATGTTGGTTTATTTAACAGAAAAACTAAATAAAAAAATTAAAAAAAAGGATAAAAACACTATTTAAAATGAAAATTTTGGGATTAATGCTAGGGGAGATAATCAATCAAAGACAAATAATTACCATTTTTAAGAAATTTACATTTCTTATTGGGACATTCTGGTGTCAATATCTGTTAACTTATTTAATGCTTATAGTAATCAGAAATATTGTTGGATTGATAAAATCCATTAATTGCTTACAAACACAGATTTTTATATATACATATATACATACATATATATATATATATATATATATATATATATATATATATATATATATATATATATAAATAATTAGGAAAAAAATCATATTCATCTCCTCAGATCAAGTAAATTTTATGAAATGAAATCAAGATATCCTAGACAGACAGATATACAAAGATAAAAAAAAAGTCCTAGCTTCCATTGTTGTTATCACAAGATTTCAGCTATTGGAAGGCACAACAGCTGAAACATTGTGATAACAACAAGAAAGATGTAGACAAAAGTCTATATGTAAATAACTCCTTTTCTTCCTCATAAATTCAAACAGAAACAAAGGTTGTTTAATTTTTGATAGTATTTTTCCTATTTCTCAAATAAGTCATCATTAAGAACCATGTGTTGTCAATGTGGTAGCAAACAGAATCTTGCCTGCAACACTGACAAAACATGGTTCTTGATCATGACTGAAACCATCAAAAGTACTTGAACAAAAACAAGACAAACAAACTTTGGACAATTTATCCACAATTTCAATTCTGTTATACTCTATTAAAAAAAAAACAATAAAAAATTAAACAGATCTTGCCAGTTGAATGTAATAAAACTTGTTTGGATAAATACTTGCTGCCTAAATCCCCCTACACACCACCTATTTTTTTCCTCACTTAGTGTATGTCAAAGTGTAGTATCTGTTTCTATCTATTCTGCCTATATTGCTTATATCTGAGTTTTGTGATTCTTTGTAGGTCATATAAGCTTTATTCCTGATTTACCTTCTGACAAACGGGAATTAATAAAGTACATGCAGCCAGGAAACCTCACTAAAGTAATTTTCACATACAAACAGGTAAGTTTTAGTAATATATACTAATATATTTACTTATAGACATACATACTTACATAAACACACACACACACACATATATATATATATATATATATATATATATATATATTCACTACGGAATTAATAATTATCACAATCGAATTAAGTTGACACCCCCCATGAAAAATTATTACCTGTAGAACAACATTTCCGCCTAGAAAAACATGATTTCAAAATCCATGCCAAATTCACTATAATTGAGAGAATAGAAAAGTTCAGAGCAGATAACATTAAAAAGATTTTAGAGTTCCATGAAAATAAGTGGATACGTCTAAAAACTCACTATCCAGCCGGGCTAAACCATAAATTTGACAATATAGATAGTACTAATATATAACACTACAAATCAAAACCTACCCACATTTCTCACCCACACAAGACAGACATGCTTATGGAGGTGTTGAGGCCTCACACTTATACACACACCCACACGAACATACACACTTACACACATCATACTCACTCACTCCCTAATGAGCCAAATGATAACACACACCCACAGCAATATATACGCTTACACATATCATACTCACTCACTCCCTAAAAAACAAATAACACACACACACAAACACTTAACAGAGACACATCCCCTCTCCAGGACCAATAAAACTGTCAAACTGACCATGGGAATTCAGAGCAGCATAGATCCATCCAGCTCTTATCTCAAATAACAACTTAAAAGAGACTGTTTGACCAACACAAGGAATGTTAAAAGATTCATGTTAAAAAGATAAAAAAACAAAAAAAACAAATGAAAACTACAGACAAAAGTTCATTTTCTCCATCAAGACATCCATTTCTGTAGTTCACTGCTACCAGCAAGCAGAAATACTTCTTCTCCTGATGATGGCCATTTTGGCCGAAACTAGTCGAGGAATCTAAATGAAATAATAATAAAAAAAAAAACGAAAGAATATTAATCTACAACCCAGTGTGTCTGAAGATTTTAATTTTTAATATTTTTTATTATTATATATATATATATATATATATATATATATATATATATATATATATATATATATATATATATATGGTACGATGGGTAAATTGTCACCATTTTATATTTTTAATTTTGCATATGCACGTTGTTTTTGATTTTGTCGACTGCACAGTAAATTAGCGTCAGTTGGGCACCATCTATAAGAAAAATCATATACACCAAAAGCTCCAGTGCAAACATTTTAGAGTGTTTGGGTGTCAATCTGAGGACAGTGCAAAGGATTTGGAAAGAGTTGGATAAGTGTAATGGTGATTAAGGTGTTTGGAGTGATCACTAGTGATGGCAATGTTATGTCTCCATTCATTTTCCCACAGGGCCTCAGACTCAACACAGAGGCCTATATTGTTCATTGAGGAGTTAGTGCTGCCCTGGGTCAAGAGGGTGGCTGCTGGAAGACCCTGTCTCTGGCAGCAGAACTCTGCACCATGCCACACAAGCAGGAGAACCCAGTTTGTCAGACAATTTCTATGATTACATCACCCCTTACATCTGGTCACCTAATGTCCAGACTTCAACCCCCTTGATTATTGTGTGTGGGTCACAGTTGAGCAACAAAACTCCTTGTAACACCAAGATGATATGAAGGCAAGGATTATGGCAACATTAACCAACTTAAACAAGAAGACTGTCCAGAAGCGTTGCAGGAGATTTAAAGTCGTCTGGAGGCCTTGGTTGAAGCCAATGTTTTTTTGTTTTCTTCTGAATAAATTTACTCTTTAGTATTTCAAGATATTTTTGTGTAATTTTGGTAAATATATCTGTTAAATGAGATGTCAGTGTCTATATTTTTGCATTTTTAGATGCAATTTATTTAGATGACAATTTATCCATATATACCATATATATATATATATATAAAATGGTTTATTTTCTAAAAGCTTTAAATGGCCAATTAAGATAAGGAACATTTCTGCACTTTAATTTATAAGTGACAATGCTTCATCTAAGAAACTATTTTTATTTTTTTGTTTAATCATTTCACCTAAGCAAAACAATAAAGCCACTAAGACATGAGGGGGCTACTGAGTGTGAAAGAATGAGAAAAAAAAAAACTTATTAAGGAAAAATTGAAAAGACAGAAGATAACAATTGACTGCATTTAGATTTTTGAAGATCAAAGTTGATTGGAAACCAAGAAGTCGAAAGAGAGTTCCACAAGCAAGAAATGCAAGAGAAGAAACTATTAATATGTAATGTTATCCAGCCATAACTTTTATCTAATATGATTAGAAGACCAGAACTTTGAAATTTAAATTGCTACTAACACAGGCTGTAAACTCAAAATGGGAATACCAGTGTCATTTGATTATAACAGTAAGTGGGAAGGGTCAAAACCACTATTTACAACAAATCATATATAAACCAAATCATTGTTAAATTTTTAACCAGAGTTAATCCTTTATTCCAAAGAATTTTTTTTGTGTAACTCCCAGCCATCAACTTTAGTTTATTTCATCAGCAATCTTCTCAACCTCTGAAGTCAAAAACACGTGGCAGAGGAGTGAATGATTGTGAAAGAGACAAACACCAGCTAGATTAATTGGAATTGTGCTCATCAGCCTGATACCAGCAACAAAGCAGCAACATCTTAATGTGTGTGGAGTCAGCTAGATGTCAACCACAATGGTCTGAAGGAACCTGAAGACTAATGTTGTGTGGAGGAGTTACACATCTGCACATATTTAGGGTTTTCTTTATCCTGTTTTTCACTGAGGTTATTATGGTATGATGCTATTTTGATTTTTTTTATTTTACTTTTCATTTTTAAAGGCATTTTGGAGAAAGAAGAAATTTTCTGGTGAAGCTCTCTGTGCAAATGGACCAGTTTGTATTGTATATGACAATTCTTCTGCTTGTATTCCTTCTTTAATGGCTTTCGTTGGGGGTGATCAGATGGTGCAGTGGCGACAAGTGGAGGTAAGCATCCTGATAAGACATACCAAAAAAAGCCTACATTAACAATTACATGTATTGGAATGTGTCAGGTCACTCTACAAGGACTATTGGTACCATGTAACCCAGTACTACTTGCCACATGGTTGGGTTAGCAGCAACTAAACAGTTTTCCCCAACTAGGCTTTTCTAGTGATGAGGCTGGATAGACCTGCAGAAGGGTTGAAAACAAGACATGTCAAAAGGTGAATGAACCTTCTTACAGGATCAGTGGCTATCTGGTACAATGGGGTAGACTGGGCTCCATAGCTATGCATGCAACCAGTGCAGGGATGACATGACTCCCTTGCCTGCATCTTTATTGTTGTTAACAAGAAAGATGCAGACAATAGTCTGCAAGAAAACATTTTAAGTACATATTTACAGAACCTGAATTAGATAATTTGTTCATGCAGCAAATCAAATCCATACTAAAAGACTGAGAAAAGAAGAGTGAATTTAGGTCTTAATTGTGAGTTGACTCAGTTTTACATTGCATCAGTGATGTGGTCAGTATAAAAGGCAAGAGAAAATGGATGTCTGGAGTAGATGTGATATTGCTCTGACAAATTGTCACTAACTGACAAGTTGACTTACATTTTGCACCTTTTGCTAGACTGTCACATGATACATTTCTTACTCTTTGACATGTGCATCAATTATAACTGTGTCAACAGCAGATAATTAAGTTTTGTAACATGTTTTTTTTTTTTAAGTTGATGCTTTGGAATGTGTAATTACTGTATTTAAAAATGTCAATCTGCCATCTGTGTTAAGGATTGGCTTTGGTTGGATGTTCTTGCTGTTATATAAAGTATATAAAAGAAACATTTACTTAGCTTGGCTTTGCACAGATTCAAATAAAAAGAAAATGGTGACTAGTGCCTTAGTATTACCAAAATAAATTAATAACACATGCTGATTTTAACCCATGAATAAAACATTCTCATCATCTTGACAGTCTAAAAACTGTCACCAAGATCTTTTAGTCTAAAAAATAATCAAATCAAATGTGATTTTAATTGATAAGAAAATTAACCCTGTCAATCACTATGAAACATTTAGTGCAGCAATGAAACTTACCTAAAATAGTGAAACACGCACCCTCTGAGGGATGATCCTAAGCAGTATGCTTGTGTATCTTGTTTCTCTCTTTCATTAATGCACCTCCATCTGATCCCATGCTCATCACTTTGGTTAATGGGATTTCCAATTCTAACATCACTTCCTGGATACATTTTGCAATTCCTGCACTTGTTGTATCAACACCCTCTTTATTTGCAACAAAATGAGGGCTTGGTTGAAATGACTCCAGATCAATAATTTGGACATATACAACAAGATATTTATGGTTGGTTATATGTAGATTAATCTATGTGCCCAGTCATAGAGCTATATGCATGACATTTACTATACTGAGCAGCAATATAGCGTGAACTGTAGCAGTAAGAGATTTAGAACTCTAATCTCTGTCAGAAAGCTGTTCCGAGTCTTTTTGTAGAGCAGGAATATTGAGGCAGGACTGATGCCCTTTGTTACAACATGGTAAGTGAGGGTGGAGTGTTGAAAGTTGGTGCTTTTATTTGATTTATACAAGTTGTTTTATATTTAGTCCAAATGTCACAATCCATGAAGTTTTAATCTGAAAAAGCAAAGCTATTTCTCCATTTTGTGAGCCACTGCTCAAGAAAAGGCTGCTTTCTTTTGGAAGGAGATGAAAGTGATTGCAGCTTTTCTGCAGCTGACTCATCAGGCTCAGTAAAAGATAAGTACCACCAAAATGGATACTTTTTTCTGCAGTGAAAGTAAAAATTAACACCCCGTGTTTTAAGATATTTACCAAAAATCAGGAAATTATCTTAGTCAAACAAAATTTTCAGGACTTCTTCATTATCAAAGAAATTGCAGCTTTTCTGCGGCTGACTCATCAGACTCAGTAAAAGTGGCAGATGTAGGTACAGGCCATGCTGAGTTACTTTGAACAGGCTCTGGAAGGGTAGGGGGTCAGAGAGAGAAACTGCAACTGGAATATTCTGCTCTCCATCAATAGGATCTCATCTGAAGCATGATGTATGTTCAGACCCAGTTTGAGTATCACAGAATCATGACTGTGATTCAAAGGCATTTCATCATATGTCCTTGCATTTTAAGAATTATAAACAAATAATACCCCAACAATCTTACCACAGACACATTACCTTTCTTCCATGGAGCTCAGCTTTTGAGATTCGTTGGAGAAATTTATCTTTGTCAATCCACTGCCTTTTGCATTGAACATTGTTGTATATAACCCACTTTTCATCATTTGTTAAAATAGTTGTAAAGAATGGTTTGTAAGGATGATACATCTGTTGTCATATCATTTCCAAAAATGGATATTACTCAACTTAATAATAAAAATATTTACCATATTAAGATGGTATTTAAGATTTGCTTTTTTCACCTAACTGAAAAATGGTACAAAAATAAGTCCCAGGTATTCCAGTGTAAAATGTTAAATTTAGGTATCTGATAGGCTAATGTTTACCTAGATATCATTGATTAACAATATGTATACCTATCTTAACTCTATCATACTGGAATATTGAATGTTAGTAGAAAAGCCATCAAATATTGTATTTGTTTAATAAATCCTGCAATTTACTTGAGAAAAATAAAGGTTTTTGATATTTTTTTTTCTACAATTTCAACCAGGAACCTGTTTTTGTGAAAGCTGTTCTGACTTGTCTAGAAAAATTCTTTGGTCCTGAAGTAAATGATTTTATCAGTGTTGCAAGTATGGATTGGGCACAGGAGCCATATATTCTGGGAAGCCCCACAAGTGTTATTGTGCCTGGGGCCATGAAATATTTCCCAAATATGCGTAAACCCTTCAACAGGTAAGGAAAATGTCTTTCTTTTTTTTTTTTTTTTTTTTATGTCAAAACAAGGAAAAAATTCACTTATGCTTATGGTGGTTACAGTTGTGGTTGGGTTTGTTATCTTATGATATCTGCTACCACCATATATATGGTATAATTAATTTGGATATATATTGCCTTGTGTAATGATAAAAAGAAAATGCACAGTGTTGATAAAGAAAGAATAAATCTTTATATAACACAATATAATACAGAAAGATAAAGTGAAGTTTCGAGAGTTCAAATATAAAAGTCCGAGCATATAAGAGAGAAAGAATCTGAGAGGAATTAAAATATATTTTACTTCCTCTCAGATTCTTTCTCTCATATATATATATATATATATATATATATATATATATATTCATGAATTATTCACACAAAAAACAAATGCAAAGGTTAATGATTTAATTGGCGAGAAATCCACCGTCGCAAACAATTCAAATAATATACAAAAACCTCCGAATCCATTATGAATGAAAAGATCCTTGTTTCTATAAATTTCTGCCGTATTAGTTCTTATTTTACTACAAGCTTTCGTCTGTTCCTACAGACATCTTCAGGTATGGAATAGATGTTGTTCTTGTTTTTTCTCTTAGTAATAAGAGGACAACGAAAATATATGTATTGTTGTATCCGAAAATGCTATTGGAAATGAGTTATTGTTTTTGGAGCGTGCAATAGCAACGCTAAGTTTGATTTTAAATTTTTTACAGTTGTGCGTTCATGTACAAATATGGTAATAAACGAATTTTTTACTGGTAAATTTTCTGTCAAAGTGGCATGAACTATATTGTAGTAAAAATAAGAACTAATACAGCAGAAATTTATAGAAACAAGGATCTTTTCATTCATAACGGATTCGGAGGTTTTTGTATATTATTTGAATTGTTTATGCGATGGATTTCTCGCCAATTAAATCATTAACCTTTTGCATTTGTTTTTTGTGTGAATAATTCATGAATTTGTAAATTGATTGCACGTTTATCGAAATATATATATATATATATATATATATATCTATAATTTTATATATATATTATATTATTTTTATTATATATGCATGGTACTTATTGGAAAGTGCTCAATATCAGTGACAGAGCTAACATATATAGTTGGATTGATGTGAGTTTGTGACCCTGGGTTTCACACTATTTGCGATTGTCTGACAATTGCAAATAGCGTGAAACCCAGGGTCACAAACTCACATCAATTCAACTAATATATATATATATATAAAAACAAGTTTTTTTTGTTGAGCAAAACTTAATAATAGCAAGGAATAAGTGCAATTTAAAAGGCATATCAGTGTAAATTTAGTAACTAACAACAACCAGTTTCGTCCAAGTCTTACAAGTTTTATTCTGGGAAATAAAAGAATAAACATGTAAATTGATTAAAGATGACTGATGAAGGAAAAAAAAAAAAAATCGAAAAACTAGAGACTAGTAATATTAAGACCCAGAAAACAATCCCTCTGTTTACAGAGTGGGGGGATTGCGGGATCTGATATATAAGGACTCCAGGACCTTGAGATGATATAAAGAGTGGGACATTAATAAAATAGAGAAATGGTCCACACTAAAATCAGTAATACAAATCCTGCTATTTATAATATGTTGAGCAATAGCTGATCCAGATGTATTTACCAGTTGACTATTATTAGTAGCCGGATTCAAAATTCTGGGAGGTAAATGCTGCTTTATCCTAAAATTCAAACATTGAGAAGTCCTCTCTATGTAGTCAAGACCACAACTATATTCATATTTATAAATAACTGATTTAACATGATGTTGAGTGAGGATGTCCTTACAAGTGGAAGATAGAATAGGTTCGAGTAACAAATATTACTCGAACATTAGCAGAAAAATATCAACTGTTGATCGCAAATGAAATTTGCCTAGCTAAAGACCAATAAAGGGAAGACGCAAATAAACAGGAATTTTTTAACAAGATGCAGTTTAAACCCTATGAAAATTATTGATGACAACAAAGATAACAGCATCCAAAACATCTAAAGGATATCCATTTTTGGAAAGTGTCATCTTAATAAAATCAGTTTCACCGCAGAGAAAGCCTTTGGAACAGATCCTAAGAGCCCCATGAGTTAGGGTCTTAATTAGATTTATCTTATGTTGTCGGGGACACTCAATAAATGCCAAGTTTGAAATTGCTCTTACATCATTGATAACTACATACTATTACAAATTGAAGGAAAGGACCTTAGAGGACTTTTAAGAAATCAATAATCAATAATCAATTTAACACTGTATTTATGTTATGAGCAAGACTTTTAAAATCATTTTTTAAAAAATCAATATTTTTCAATGCTGACAAATGTTTTGGCTAAAAGGTCTAATGAATGCTTATCTACAAAAAATTACTTTCCAGAAAACTTTTTCCCCCAGTTTTTTTTTTTTTTTTTTTTTTTTATGAGAAAATTTTATATCAACTATTCATATTTCATTTTTTATTTCTTCTCTTTCTCAAGATGTTATACATAAAAATGCCTTTTTTTTACTTTTTTTTTTTGATTTGTTTAACATAGGTACCTCCACAAGATCGCTAAAAAAAGAGCATAGCATGATGAAAAAGACTCCAAACTTGACGAAAACAAAATCTTATCCTCTAAATGTTTGTTATTATTAAGAGGAAAGATCAAAGTATTTGGGGGAGATTTTTTTTACATTTTTTAATTGTTCCTAGCACGTCCGAAATTTTAGTTAAAATCTTGTTTTTTTTGAGTCAGCAGAATTGAACATTTTTTTTCCATTTTATAAAAAAACTGAAAATCTCCCTTTGAAATTCTTTTAAATATCAATTATCATTTTTTCAAAACTTATTTTAGAAAATTAGAAATTATATTTATTTAGAATATTTTGAAGCAAGCTTAACTTAGTTTCTGTGCTGAAAAGATGTAATTTGAAAATAAAACAAAGCAGGTCATAAACTTTTGCGTCACTTGGCAGATGATGAATGACATATTGATGGATTCCATGAGAATAATTTGTTCTATGGAAGGAGAAATGTAAAATTATTTACATTTAAGTGATAAAAGTTATTTACCTTGTTATGTTTAAGGAAAACTTTCAGCGCTCTAATTTTTTTTGTTTTTTGTACTTAGCTTTCACCTTTACGTTTACGATGCTTTATGGAAAATATATTATAATGAAATTAAAATAAGACTGTTAAGAGTGAGATTAAATTTCATATTTCATAAGAAAGGTATCTAATTAATTTATAGGTACCTTTCTTATAAATTTTATCAGAAGTGTACATAAAATACTATAATTTTATGTACATTTATTACATTTTACTGTGTTATTTGTATTTCCATTCATTTTATTATTAATTTTGATATTTCAATTATGGAAAAATATCATAACTGAGATTAATATAAAAATAAGATCATATAAATTTCAGAAGATGATACTGATACTTGTAGGTACCCTTCTCAGTTGAAATTGAAAAATCAAATTAACTTCTCCACATGTGTTTCGCAAAAGTAAAGGCCTTAACAGCAGAGAACAATGCTTAACTGAAATAACACAACTTAATTGTATTCTGGTTGGTCTTCCATACTTTATAATTACAGTCCAATTATAAACACAAAATTACATTTCTTAATTACTGCAGATCTTCTGATTAGTCAAAATTATACAATTTACAACGCTAAAAAAAAAAAGATCTATCTCATAAGGACACTTAGGAAACCCAATGCAGCTTTTAACTAATTTTATAATATTTTAACAACTTAAATGTAAAAATCTATTATAATTAAAAAATAACAAATAATTGTATTATAAATTCATTTTTCATCAAAAAAAATTTTCTGCTTTCAGAAAATATTGTCCATATTCATAAAAACAACTAAAAGTAAATAGAAGCATTTGAAATTAAATAATATCTTTGTTTTATTGTATTTTGTATGTTACAATTCAGAGCTGATTTTCAGGTAGGAGGGGGGTCCAATTAAAAACAAAAAAAAATATGATTTGTATTCCTCAAAACCTTGTGCTTTTAACTATTGTAATCACTAAACCTGATGCAATCGAATTTCTAGCGTTCTCATAAAATTAGTTATGGGGTGGGGTAATAAATATAAAAAAAAGTATTTCTGCCATGACTTTAATAAAGAAACATATTTATAATAATTTTGATCATCTGTGAATAGTTTCTGAAAGTTTCATTAACATCCGACAATTATTTTATTTTTGCAAGATTTTTCAAATTAATGTGTGTCACACAAAAAAAAACGTGCTAAAAATTGTATATGTTATTTTACTAGTTCCATTGATACAAAGAGAAACAAAGTTTTTTTAATCAAAATTTAGAATGTTCTAAAAAGAAGGAAAAATTTTAAAAAATAATTAAAATAAACTTTGATCTTTCCTTTTAATAATAATATAAACATTTAGACGATAAAATTTTGTTTTCATCAAATTTGGTGTCTTTTTCATCATGCTATGCTCTTTTTTTTAGTGATCTCATGGAGGTATCTAGAACAGCATGTCAACTCCTTATGGGTCATTTAATGTCAAAATTTAATTTTCTTGGGAACTTTGAATTAAGAAAAATATGAAACATGTTATACTGTTTTCACAATTGCATACATGGTAGATGATACTCAACTTTTGTGCATATGCATGTTTGTGTGGACATAATTACTAGAGGCAGTGATATGTGTGTTTTATGTTGTAGCTTTGTTGGAGTTATATTTTGGAATACAGTTTGATTTCATTAAGCAATTGTAGGATATTATATGGCTTAATGTCATGAAAGATTTCTTTCATGACATGATGTTGGTTGTTTGATTTTTGTTTAGTGCCATATCAACCTCTATGGATTAATACTGAAATCTAAATATTCTGAACACAATCTTTAACTACAGATAGAATGTGTTGGTCATTTTGCTATAAAATGTATTGTTGGCCATTTTGCTTTAAAAATGTCCTGTTGGTATTTTTTATATATAAAATGTATTGCTGGCATTTTAACCATAAAAATGTATTTTTATACTTTCATAGTGTTTTGTTTTTGTTTTGGGGGTTCACTATTGCCCATAGATGACAGTTTCTACCACCTTGGGTCAGGGTGGATCTGGGAGTAACAACAATTAAATGCTTCCACATTCCTCAAAACCTCTATCAGATACCTTGTTGCTGTATGTAGTTTATTGTCCTTGTTTTTGGCTTTCAGATTGATATTTGCTGGTACTGAGACTGCTACTCAAAGCTGTGGCTACATGAGTGGTGCTGTTCAGACAGGACTCCGATCAGCTAGAGAGGTTAGTATGTATCCAAGCAATTTTAGCATGTCCTACATACTTTAATATACCATGTTTTTCTCATGCACATTGTATAATGTCACCTCCTATTTTTCCATATAAAAAGTATCTCTATTATAATTCTGCTTGTCTTCTGATACCTGATTCTGCTTGCCCTTCCCTTTGTTAGTTGATTAGTTCCTTGGTTCGTCTGTTATGTCCTGCCAATAAATAATGGACGATTCCATTTTGACTATGTGAAAACATGGAACTGACATATCAGATGCTACTTGGTTTCAGTGAGAAAATGAAAGAAAGAATGAAAGAAAGGGGTATTTAATGTCTGCTTCAGTAAAATGGAAAATGTCAATTTCAAACCTTTTTATTTGTAAAGAAATTTATTAAAAAAATGTTTGCAAGAAAGGTTTTTGGCTAGTTGCATCTATTTTTTTCATTTATAATGTTATAAATATTTGACTATAAATTTCTATTTATAGTCAAATATTTATAACATTATAAATTATGAAATGGTCAGTTTTCAGTTATCATCTTATTAATAATTTTAGATGTCATTGTGATACTTGAATTTGGATCTCTCAATGGAATACTTAACAGGGGTTAAATATGGTAGATGAAGATGATGAATAAAGATAGTTATAGTTGTCATGTCCATTAAAAATAAATAAAAATTAATTATACTGTCATAAATAATTGTGATAAAATAATTATAACAATTATGATTAATACCATTCACCCTTTCTAAACCAATGAGAACAAAACCCACTTTTTCCTCTACCACACTCCTCATTATTGGACAAGCAGTTAACATGAAAGTTGACCAATATTTTGGCTCCTTTCTTTTTCGGGCCTCAATGATAACATTTTTCATATGACACTCGTAACCAAAAATCAAGGTAAGAAACTTCAGACTTTATTTTTTTTTCTCTTCATGTCAATTATCTGGACACTCATTAAACACAACAGATAAAAAAAAAATCTCATTTTTTTAACACCTCATAACAACTGTCAAACCAGATAATAAATAACACTTGTTTTGTCATTTCCAGGTTTTTCTTTTTCTCATTTTCTACAAGTATTTTTGTATGTATAAACGTTGGGGGTTTATAATTATTTACAGATTTATAACTACCCTACACAGTGAAACCTTGGGTCATGAATGCTTCTCATGAACAAATTAGTTCACAAGTAAATTTTCCAAACAAAAAATGTCTTTATCTCTCAAGCAACAAGCCAGCATCCACATTGAGTGACAAGCTGGAAGTATCAACAGGAGAGTGTCAGTTGCAATGTAGCTTTCACTCCATGCACAACCCTGGTTGGTTTTGCCCTGCCTTCTCATGAATTTCAGTGTTTTGTAGATTTTTGTTTTTGGTTGGGGGATTATAAATTATTAAATGACAATGCCATGTTTCACTTTAGAATCATTTTTAAATGTAGACGGAAATAAATCTCATTGAACATAATTTTTAGTGGGACAGAAGCCCAGTGAGTCTCAAGCAGAGTTGAGTGGTGCTAAAAGACAGAAAAAAAAAGAAAGAAAAGAAACCCCAGAAAGACAGTTACCTGATGTTTTTATGGAAGAAGATTCTTTCAAGCAATAACATGACTCCCCTTCTTCACCACTTTGCAATTGTGCCATCAACTCTCTTCCATATAAATACAGTAAAATTAAGTTTTCCTCTATATATTATCTGTTTAGTATTGTATTTATTGTTTATGTGTGTTAGATTATAGTGAAGAAAACAACGACTTACTTCATCAAACCAAGCGACAGTGCGTCACGTGTATCCTACGATGGAAAATGTGGCGTAAAAGAAAATTACTTGATATGCTGAAGATGGAATATTTAAATTAAAAACAAGTCCATCACAGGAGTCTCTATAAAAGTATTTTGATATGCAAAAATTGGGCGTCCTCTCCTAGTTGTCGAGGAATGAAAAAAAATGTTCGGCCAATAAAAACAGTTGGTGTTCTCAAATTGGGGAGGAAAAATTCGGGTATTTTGGCTACCGTGTTTGTCGGAGAGTGAGTTATTTTTTTGACTGGTTGAGTGCATTCTGATTTGTGAGATAGTACCTGCAAATCAAGTTTTCAGCATTTCTTTCTGCCCCCAATGTTTGAGTCTGAACTTAGTGATTTATTCTCTGCGTTGTGGAAGTAATCTGCGACAAATATTTCCTTTGCAATCCCAGATCACTTACATAGATTTAATTAGGAACCTCTACAATTCGCTAAAAAAATGAGTATACCATGATGAAAAAATGCCCCAAACAAAGTTTTATTGTCAATTTTTTTTTTATTTCTGGAAAGACCAAAGGATTCTTTTATTAAATTATATTTTTGATCTATTTTAGAACATTTAAAATTTTGTTTAGAAATTTTGTTTTTCTTGCATCAGATGGGAGGGGGGACAGAGATTGGTATAGGAAATTATAGCGACTTTTTTTGCAATGAAAAACATATTAATTTGGAAATTTTTGCAAAAATCAAATTTTAATGAAATTTAGAAAACCTTAGTAAAAACTCTCTTTTTTTTTTTTTTTTTTTTTTTTTTTTGAACACCGGTTACCCCTGCCCCTCCACATTTAATTTCATGAAACTTTGAGAAATTAATCTTTGTACTACTCAATGTTTATAGTAGTTATATGCACCACTTCTTGGAGAATTTAAATCCTCAATTTTTTTGGGGGCTTTTGAGTCCCTGGTTACAGAATCTCAGAATCATAAGCATCAATCATCAACATTTAATTTGAAAAGATTTTCATTGAATTTATGGATAAGATATAATGAACACTAGTGTCTTAAGAAAAAAATTTCTGATAAATGAATTTTTACAATTTTCTATTTTTTTTTTTTAATTAGAATAATTTATAAAGTTTTAAATCTTTTAATTTTCTGTATTAATTTGTACTTGTTAGGTGATATTATTATTATTACGTAAAAACTATATTTACTAATCATAAATGTAAAAGCTTACAAGTCAGCGACCCCCCCTCCCCCATATTTTAAAAATATTTTGAATTTTTGTTGTATGTAGAGAAATGTGCAGATTTTTGTAAATACGGATGTCCATATACAACATTATCATAAAAATAAGTGTTAACTATAGTAAATTTAAAGCCAAAGTACCTAAAATTCAATAAAACATTAGACTATGCAGAATATTTTCCTAAATTTTTAAGATTACTGGGTAGTTAAAAATTATATAAAAATAGGTGCTCACATTATATTCATGTAATTTTTACAGATATGTCCACTGTAGAAAAAAATTAGCTTCCATCTGTTAGTCAAGCTGTCAACCTACCACTGTGTTAAAAAAAAATTTTTCTGCTATATTTTAAACTTAAAGTAAGTAATGTCTTAAGTCAGATTAATTAAACTTTAAATCTGCTAATATTACTCAAACAAAGTTTCAGAAAAGTATATTTTATTTTTGAAAGATTTTTTTAATAAAGAGAATTACATTGTGATGACAGATGGCTAAAAATGGCGCTAAAAATAAAATCAGCAATTTTTATGATTTCAAAACAAAACTATTTCCAGCAATTTAAATTAGTTTTGAAATATATCAAAGTACATTGCTTAGTGGGAATATTAAATTTAATCTATTAGTTTGAAGTTAAAACTAAAATAAAAGCTTCAAGAAAATTCATTTTTAACCTTAGGTATCACGTTTCTGTGGAGATACCTAAATTTAATAATTTTCATAAGTACTGTTGTAATGGAATGGATTAATCCTTTTTACATTGATTCCTCTGAGGGGAAATAGTTTCAGTTTACAAATATTTCAGGTCATGTATGGCGTTCAGGACTGAATTAAATTTGTGAACCAATGCTCCACTGTATCTCTATACTTATTAAATTTTCATTGGTATACCATTAAGGCTTGAGTAGTAGAAGTGCAAACAAATCAAGGGATTAAACTCTGTTGTAGTAATTAATAGACTTAGTTATCTCCCCTGAACATTCTCTCTCAATTTATACTTGTTTAAAAATTACTTGGAAACTAGTGACCAGCATTAACAGAAAATTTCTTTATCCTCCAAGTTAATGCAATACAGTTAAGATGCTCTAAAAAAAATTGTTCTAGGATGTATCGTTTTTTGCTATTATTGTAGCATACACATACAGAAATTGGATTGTTATAATAGTAATATGATTATTAAATTAATTATTGATTTAATTATTTTTAAAAATAACTCCTCTACTAAATCTGATGAAATTAAATAATTTCTAAGACTGGATTGAACTATACCCCAACTTCACTGCTATGGTTCACAATCTGCCAGTCAATCTTTTCTTCCTACATTGTGTTTAAGTTTTGATCTGAGGAGGTCTTAGGCAATGTTTGAAACATCCTCAAAAATGAAAAGGGAATGCTATAAGAAGAAAAATAAAAATAACTCTCAGGATGGACTATTGATTCTTGTTTATAGAAACAACAAATTTATTTGATGAAGGTTACAGGATTTTTTTCCTAACTATTTCACCCCAAGCAGGGTGATAAATCCACTAAGATCCATCCAGGATCTTCAATGAACTTCTTCACAATTGTATTTTTGCTATTTCCACAATTGTTTTACTTTTTAGAATATTTCTCTTTATCCATCAAAACAATAACTCGTTCTTTTAAAGCTTCAAACTTGTAACAGTGTGGTAAAATGAAGGTTGAGGTTCAGAATGCTGTCTGTGTTTGTGTGTGAGTCTTATTTGGGAGTTCACCAGAGTGAGTGACTCAAATTGCTGTTGTCCTTTTGGCGTTTATTGCAAGCTATTAAACACATATACAATGCCTAGACACTTGATTTAATACTAGTGACTTTGAACCAGTAATATTATTATTGTGGTAATGCCTTAACCATACAAAGGTTGGCTGGAAAGTTCATCAATTGACTAAGATACTCTCATGGAATGTGACCAAAGTTTATTTTTCAACATAGTCCCCCTTGCAATCCACACACTTCCATCAGTATTGCAGTGCTTGGATCCCATTGGTGAAA